AGGTCGGTCGTCTAATTCGCCGCGGCAAGGAGCGCGGTCTCGCGGAACCGGTTTGAGAGAGAGAGACACAGGAGATAAACAATGCAAGAAATCACACAGGTTTATTTACCAGAGAGCTGATGGGTTTCAGTCCTTGGCAGGCCACCCGGAGACACTCGCTGACAGAGGAGACACACGGAGGTGGCCAAAATACGCCAGCAAGGAGCTCGGTCTCTTGACTTGAAGAGAGGCCTCTTAACAGTCTGGGCTCAAGGCAGAGCAAGAATGGCAGTTTGGCAGTTCCAGGGGGGAGGAGAACGGTTGTCTGTGGAGGGTAGACAAACGTCTGAACCGCAGCAGATTTGCTCTCCTTAAATCCTTGAAGCTGGGCGTCTTCAGTGTCTCATATCGGGTGCCATACACGGGTGCCGCCCTGTTATCTAGGTATACACTCAGGCGGGAAAATTGTGTACATGTCCAAAGCTTATCAATCCCACACACACACACATCTTATTTTTGGAGTTGTTTACAAGTTTTGGTCTAAGAATAAAATGGGGTCTACTTATGCTAACTTATGCTAATACAAAATGGAGTCTACTTATGCTAACTAAACTTATTACTATAACACTCCTAGAAAGGGACAGTATCACACACCTGTTCAAGGGACACCCACGGATAGCTCTGGCCAGAAAATAGTTGGCCTGAAGTGCTTTTTTAAAATATATATATTTTATTGATTTTTTTACAGAGAGGAAGGGAGAGGGATAGTTAGAAACATCGATCAGCTGCCTCCTGCACACCCACTACTGGGGATGTGCCTGCAACCAAGGTACATGCCCTTGACCAGAATCGAACCTGGGACCCTTCAGAACACAGGCCAATGCTGTAGCCACTGAGCCAAACTGGTCAGGGCCTGAAGCACTTTTTAATAACAGAAAGGTTTTCAGAAGCTGGTACAGTGTGAGGCTGGGCATCACCAACTAGGAGAGAGGAACTCTGGGAGAAGCCTAAATTGTCATGGGGGGTGGGGACCCTGAAAAAGGCCACTAAAGTGAAGGCAGTAAAAGTCTGGAATCAATGGCAAGGCCACATCATGAATCCATCCCATTACCAGGTATATTGTAAGGGTGGTGATGGGGCTGTAATCCAGGATTTAGGGCAAAGAATGTCAGATTGAGGTGTGCATGAGGCCGCTGTTAAAACTCAATAGTCCTGGAACCCGGTTCAGTACTGGAGTTTCTGGTTTAGGGGATGTGGGATGTGACCGGGAAATTTGCATTCATTTTAAGATTCTGAGGCAGGAAGCCTGTCCATCATCAGAAACAGCCCTGTGCTGGACTTACTGGGGATCATTTTGTAAGTTGTACACCTGAATCTAATATAATGCTGTATGTCAACTGTAATTGAAAATTTTAAAAAATATATTAAAGGATAAAAACCATCCTGGAATGTTCTCTCTTTCTCTCTCTCTCTCTCTCTCTCTCTTATAATCTTTACCTGAGGATACTTTTCCATTGATTTTTAGAGAGAGTGGAAGAGAGAGGGGAAGATAGAAATATCGATGTGAAACACATCGATTGGTTGCCTCTTGCGTGATCCCCGACCACTGGCCCCGGGGCCAGGCAGGAGTCTGCAACCCAGGTATGTGCCCTTGACCAGAACTGAACACGGGACCCTTCCGTCCAAGGGCTTATGCTGTACTTACTGAGCCAAACCGGCTAGGGGTGGAATGTTCTCTCTCTTTTTTTAAAATATATTTTATTGATTTTTTTTACAGAGAGGAAGGGAGAGGGATAGAGAGTTAGAAACATCCATGAGAGAGAGCCATCGATTAGCTGCCTCCTGCACACCTCCCACTGGGGATGTGCCCGCAACCAAGGTACATGCCATTGACTGGAATCGAACCTGGGACCTTTCACCCCGCAGGCCAACGCTCTATCCAGTGAGCCAAACCAGCTAGGCTGGAATGTTTTCTTGATACACACATTATGATGGGTGACTCCCCTCAGTCCCTCAGTCTTGGTTCAAAATATATCCAGAAAAGCCTAACAGAGCAGGGCCAGAATACCACCCCCCATCCCATTGCAACCTATACATTATTATAAATTAGTATCTATTGCTGTCTGTTACTCTTTTTTTTAATATATATTTTATTGATTTTTACAGAGAGGAAGGGAGAGAGATAGAGAGTTAGAAACATCGATGAGAGAGAAACATCGATCAGCTGCTTCCTGCACATCTCCTACTGAGGATGTGCCCGCAACCCAGGTACATGCCCTTGACCGGAATCGAACCTGGGACCCTTCAGTCCGCAGGCCGACGCCCTATCCACTGAGCCAAACCGGTTTTGGCCTGTTATTCTTCCTCATAGGATTTATCACCTGCTGAGATTGCACAATCCATTTACTGTCTCTCTCCCGCCATTATAAGGTCCATAAAAGCTGTTCCTTTGCCTGCTTTGCTTACTGATGGAACTTCAGTGGGTACTACAGTGTCCGGCACAATATTTGGTGCCTGAAAATATGTCTGAAGGAGTATAAATTACCCCAAAACCAGCATTTGAGATTAAATCCTGAAAGAGCCACCACATAGCAGAGCTAATTTCCATTTCTTTCCCAAAAGCAAAACTGTTTATAGTGTGGATCGTGGGAAACTATGGGACAGTTATGAGACTAAGGGAGAGCGCCCTGGAGAGTGAAAGAACCAGAGTTCCTCTCCCAGGAGAAGGAGAGGGAAAAGGAAGAGAAAGCACTTGTCTCAGTTCAGCAGGAAACAGTGGAGCTGGAAGCTTTGAAATGGTGGCAGCTCTTAAGAATGATTGATAGTCCCGTGGACAAATGCAAAGGCTTTGCTTGACAATATCCCTTAAGGATCTCACACCCCATCTCCCACATTCTCCATTCTTAGAGACTAAGATTCCTGTCACCCTTTTTGCTCTATTTATTCTGAACACCTTTTTCTCTCCTGCTCTGCCCAGTTTATATTCAGTTAAAGTTTCTACTCACACATGATTTTGGGGGGGACTGTCTGGTCAGCCGATGTGACTCAGCGGCTGAGCATCCACCTATGAACCAGGAGGTGGCTGTTCAATTCCTGGTCAGGGCATATGCCTGCGTTGCGGGCTCTATCACAGGTGGGAGTCATGCAAGGGGAAGGCGATCAATATTCTCTCTCATCAGTGATGTGTCCATTCTTCTCTCTCTCACCCCCTGAGGATAAAAATATATATATTTTAAAAAATAATTTGTGCCCTAGACTGTTTTTGCTTAGTGGATAGAGTGTCGATCCTTGGACCAAAGGTTCCGGGGTTGAATTCTGGTTAAGTACATATACCTTGGTTTCAGATTCCCTGGACCTGGTTTCTCTCTTTCTCTCCCTCTCCCTTACTCTCTCTCTGAAAAATCAATGGAAAAATATTCTAGGGTGAGGATTAACAATAACAACAAAAAAAGAATAATTTGTGGGGAGATAACTGTTCTTTTTAAAAATCTATTTTCACTGATTTCAGAGAGGAAAGGAGGAGAGAGAGAAACATCAGAGAGAATCATACAGATAGAAACATCAATGACCTGCTGCCTCCTGCATGCCCCACCCTGGGGATCAAGCCTGCAACCTGGACCTGGAATGGAACTGTGAACTCCTGGTTCATAGGTCCGATGCTCGACCACTGACCGACCCAGACTGGGTGAGACAACTGTTTTCTACAATTTTTTATGATCGCCTTTCAATGGCTCATTCCTGTCAGTGACAAAAAACTCTGATTAGTAATTTTAGCACAATCAGTCACTTCCCAAATCAACATACAACTGGTTTTTATTTTTCTGGGCTGGGAAATACAGAATCATTTCAAGCAGTGCTCTCCAATATAACTCCCTGGCATAATGCAAATTATGAGATTTCTCTGAGTAGCCATATTGTTAGCTACAAAGTTTTGTTCATTGTGCTGTCCGATGAGGTCGCTACTAGTCACACATATATGGCTACTGAGCACTTGAAACGTGCTTTACGGCACCCTTGAAACAGTTTTTATTTGTTTTGTAAAGATGAAAAATTTAGTCACTAATGGGAACCAATGGAAGACCAGAAGGTGAGAGGGCAACAGAAGCTAGAGGGTCCAAGGAGGTGGGAGCACCCAGGAGAGCACTATCCTGGCGGAGGGGGATCCTTAGTATCAATGCATATATTCCAATGCATATTGGAAGATGCCAGAACCAGCCTGGATCCTGAGATGTTTACAGTGGCAACTCTGACTCATCCACCAGCCTCGCCCTCCTAAGTGACAGCCAACTCTCCTTGCAGATTGGGGCTCAGTTTAAGCTGCTTCCCATGAGTGAGCAGATCTGGGAGCTGCAGACCATCATCCGGACAAAACAGCCAGTAGAAGGGACCTCATGTTTTCTGCAAATCATTTGATCAGATTTGTTGTGGAAGAGAGATTGGATGAACTGCCCTATAAAGAAGGCATGGCATATATGCATAATCCATGGACACAGACAATGGGAGGTAAGGGCCTGGGGCAGTGGGCGGGGGCTGGCTGGAGGGGATCCATGGGGGGAAAATAGGACATATGTAATAATTTCAACAATAAAGAATTATTTCTTTCTTTAAAAAATATTTTTATTGATTTCAGAGAGGAAGGGAAAGGGAGAGAGAGAAAGAAACATCAATGATGAGAATCATGGATTGGTTGCCTCCTGCACGCCCCCTACTGGGGATCAAGCCCGAAACCCAGGTATGTGTCCTTAACTGGTATCGAACCTGGGACCCTTTAGTCCCCAGGCCGATGCTCTATCCACTGAGCTAAACCAGCTAGGGCAAGAATTATTTCTTCTTTTTCTAAAAATATTTTTATTGATCTCAGAGAGGAAGGGAAGGAAATGTCAATGATAAGACTGAATTATTGATTGGCTGCCTCCTGCACGCCCCACACTGTGGATGGAGCCCACAACCCGGGCATGTACCCAGATCTGGAATTGAACCCTGACCTCCTGGTTCAGAGGTCAATCACTGAGCAACACCAGTAGGGTTTGCAAAATATTTTAATAATATTCTTATGCCAATTGCAGATCCCTCAGTACATTGAAACTGTTTCCTAATTGGTAAACTTTCTCTTACAGCCACAAATAAACCCAAATGGGAGTAAGTTTTTTGATCCTCTCTAGTTTGAATTTTGTTTAGTTTGCTTACAGTTCATGAGGGCTCCAATTACAGTGGACATATAGCATTATATTAGTTTTAGGTGTACAACATTGTGATAGGCATGAATATAATTTACAAAATGGGTTCTACTTAAATAAATTTCTGCTTCTATAAGCCACCCAGGCTATGGTATTATCTTACCACAATGAGAACAAACTAAGACCAGGCCCGTTTCCCGGGTGTAGACACCGACATACCCTTACACGATTAGCTGGTGTGTACAGGTGCCACTTAGAGATAAGATCACATGACTACCTGAATGCTGTCTCTGGGACACCATGACCTTCTTCTCTTCTCATCACTACTGCCTCTTCAGCTCCTGGAACAGAACCAGGTACAAAGGAAGTACTTGACAGAAACTCAGTATAAATAAATGAATAGACCCAATATAAGGCTTCTGTTTCATAGGTCCCTCTGCATAACATAAACTTCTTAAAGAGTTTAGGTAGATACACCCATTTTCAATTAACCATTCACACTGGCCTGGGGAAACTGAATTGATAAATGTATGCACATATACCACTAATCCAGTCTTAGCACTTTAGTGGTTTTCACTCATACCAACATTTCAGATACAAATTACGTTCATGTTTTCGAAATTCACTTATTACCTCCAAATAGCTCCTTTTATTTCTTCAACTGACACAATTGACCAATTGATGTATGTGTTTGGGTTAAGACCAGAGTATGCCTTCGTAGCAGTGCATATGTGCAATAGCAGGAAACTCTCATAACTTCCCAGTTTCAGCATGTAGACAATTTCTCTCAGGTAATACTTTTCAACAATAACCTGAACTAGAATTTTTTGATGAAATCTTTGCACACAGGATGACTCCTATTGGTTTCCTGTGACATAAAGTAACACGTAATTGGTCACTGAAGGTGAGACCACACTCACTGCATTCAGAAGGTTTCTATCCTGTGCACCTCTGGCCTCAGGCTCACCCACGGTGACTACATTCCTGTTTGCCAGAGGCCCACTCATGTTTAATACTGTCGGAGGGACCACAGAAGGCCCCGGCATAGTCACCGTATTAACAAGGTTTATCTCCTGCAGGACAACACTGGCCTGTGATGAGCTGGGATTCTCTGAGCGAGGAAGTATCGCCTTGACTGGGCCACCCCGTGTTGCTCTTGGGTGTATTTTTTTATGTGTCACAAGGGTAGACATGTAGGCAAAAGCTTCCCCACACGTGTTGCAGGTATAGGGTCTCTCTGTAGTGTGAATTCTTTGATGTTTAATGAGACTTAACTTCCGGGAGAAGAATTTTCCACACTCACTGCACACAAAGGGCGTCTTTCCTGTGTGAAATCTCTGATGTGCTATGAGATCGCCCTTCTGGATGAAGCCTTTCCCACATTCGTTGCATACATAAGGCTTCTCCCCCGTGTGAATTCGCCTGTGTACAGTGAGATTGCTCATCCGGATGAAGCCTTTCCCACATTCCTTGCATATACAAGGTTTCTCCCCCGTGTGAATTCGCCTGTGTACAACGAGGTCGCCGTTCCGGGTGAAGCCTTTCCCACACTCAGTGCATATGAAGGGCTTCTCTCCTGTGTGTGTTCTCTGATGTATATTGAGTAAGGATTTTTTGAGAAATGCTTTGCCACATTCAGAGCATTTATAAGGTTTCTCCCCTGTGTGCGTTCTCTGGCGTTCAGTGAGCATGAAGTTTCTGGAGAAAGCTTTCCCGCCCTCACTGCATTGATGTGGCTTCTCACCTGTATGAATGACCTGATGATCAGTGAGGCAAGACTTCTTCTTGAAGGCTTTCCCACAGTCACTGCATACGTGAGCCTTCTGTCTTTTCTGAGGTTTCTGAGGTTTGACGAGTTGAGACTCAGTGTTGAGGAGTTTTCGGCTTTCATGAAATTTTATTTCAGCCTGAAATTGTTCACCGTTAGCATGGAGAAAGGATTGTCCAGCTTTAGAATACTCAGTGGGCGTCTTGATTTCATAGTTTCTCCTCCGGTTAAGTAAAGAAAAATCTGATTTCATATTTTTTCCATGTGAGTCAAACATATGTTTTTGTCCTAACAGAGAATGGTTTGTGCTCTCATGGGCGGTATTTTCACATGTGTTACGTTGATGCCATTGTTCTAGGCTTTCATTTTGTAAGTGTTCTCGCAGATTATCATCATGTTTACAGATTTCTAGGAAAGAACAGAACAATGAACTTATCCAACATCTTGAATTGGAAGAAAGGTAATAAAAAATTATCCTGATACATCCAGCCCAGCTGGCTTGGCTCAGTGGTTGAGCGTCGACCTATGAAATAGAAGGTTTTGGTTCGATTCCCAGTCAGGGCACATGCCCGGGTTGCAGGCTCAATCCCTAGTAGGGGGCATGCAGGAGGCAGCCAATCAGTGATTCTTTCTCATCATTGATATTTCTCTCGCTCTCTCCCTCTGCTTTCCTCTCTAAAATCAATAAAATTGTATCTGTTACAAATTCCATGTTCAGTGTTCTTTGGATAACACAGTAATAAAAAGAAAGGAAAAGTAAAAGTTGAGTATAAAAACAGGTTCCATGATAAAATATGTATTTGTCTACTTCCTAAGGATATGACACACATGCAGACTGTAAAATATAGGCAATTTATGGTATCAGCAGACACAGGAAAGGGCCACCTTAACCAAACTGGAGAGGGACAGACACTCCTTCCACATTCCTCACTGCTGACTACTGTGTACCAACACGGTCCTAGGTTGGGGACACACAGACACAGTCCTCACCTACAAGGGGCCTACACTGCAGTTTGATGAAGCCACTTAAAGGACAAAGGCGTGCACAAAACAGCAACTGGTTGTGAAAACGGGTGGGAAGGCACAGTGGAGATCAGGGGTCCTCAAACTGTTTAAACAGGGGGCCAGTTCACTGTCCCTCAGACCGTTGGAGGGCCGGACTATAATTTAAAAAAAAAACTATGAACAAATTCCTATGCACACTGCACATATCTTATTTTGAAGTAAAAAAACAAATCGGGAACAAATACAATATTTGTTTTTGCATGTGGTCCGCGGGCCGTAGTTTGAGGACCCCTGGTGGAGATGGAGAGAGGTGGAGGAAAACAAGTTACATTTTAGAAGCCAGGACTCTGTGGCTCATTAGTGAGGTGGGCATGGCAGGAGTAAGGTGATAACACAACAGGGAGCTCCTAGCACCTGTGACTAACAACCTCCAGGAAAGAACCCCTGATTTTGCAACCCAAATCCTTCCCCACATCTCATCTCCATTAACGTAAATGAGAACTCCACTCTTCCCTGTAACCAGAAAAAACTTCTCAGTATCACCCTTCATCTGGTACTCTCGCTCACACACAGCATCTACCTCAATGATAAATCCCGCCTGTCTTCCCTATGAATATGCCCAGAATTGGACTAAAACCCCTTCCACATGTGGAAGCAAGTCCCTCTTTCAGACTACAGCAGTAGCCTTCTGCCTGCTTTTCCTGCTTCTCCCTGCCAGCGACTGTCTGTTATTTCTGGAATGTTTCTCACAGCCCATTCTGCTCCATCCACACCAGCTCCTGAATGTTTCTCAAACACATTCCTACCTTTTCTTCTGCTGGCCTCTCTACGTGGAATCTTCTAACCCAGCAGCCTGATGTCCCTCATCTCTTGGCTCAAAAGCATCTTATCAGAGAGGAGTTCCCTTCCTTAAAGAGCAGCCCGAGCCGCAGCAACTACTGCTCCATTCTTCAGAATGAATTTTTATCACAGCAGTTTTCACCTCATTGATATATAATTTATTTGTGTGTTTTGATTCATTTTCTTACTCCTTCTCTTAAAATGAAAGCTCTTGGTATACTTGTATGCTTTGTCTCACTGCTGTTATGCCTTGTAGAGGATGAAACAAGGAAGCAAGAACAGGTATGGAACACATTGGGCAGCATTTTTGAAAAAAGGTAAAAATCTATCTCTTTATGAACAACATATCATATCATGCAAATAATAGGAAGAAAAATTTTTAACATCATTTTGATGGGTATTAGAGTTAACCAGGACTAAATGTCCTCATTCTATGGTGGGGAGAAAATGAAAGTTTGAGGGAAGTGAATGCTACAATGGTAACATCTACAATAAACAAGAACAAAGTTCAAAATTAGAAAATACACATAGGAATTAATTTGAAGTCAGCAAGAGTATTATTTAGGCTGGAATGTACCTAGTTAAATGTTCTAGTTAAATCACATCATGAACAACAGATTCCTTTAGAGAGCGCTGTGGGTAGGGAACTGATATGATGGCTGGATGGCCAGGGGGGCAGGTGCACAGAAATGAAGGAGAACCTAAACTTACAGGGGTTCTCTAGGAGGGATGATAATTTTAGTTTCTTGCCGTGACTGGGAGCTCATCGAGAGTTGCCATCGAGATGAGTAAATTCCACAGAATAGTGTCTGTGGTGGATCACATTGGGGAGGTCGCACTATGGGAGTCTTGTGAGGGGAACAAAAGAAGCTTAGCTGATTAGAATGAAGAAAACTTTGAAGGATTAGTGGTTCAGATGAGAAAATGGAAACCAGGATCTAGGACAGAGATGGCGAACCTAATGACACGCGTGTCAGAGGTGACACGCGAACTCATTTTTTGGTTTTCTTTGTTTTGTTAAATGGCATTTAAATGGCCGATTTTTTGCATTGAGTTGACAGAGTAATTTGAGTTAACGAGCTCCTTAACGAGCTCGGTCTCGGAATGAATTAAACTCGTAAGTCAAGGCCCCACTGTATATAAAATAAATATCAAAAATATAAGTCATTGTTTTACTATGGTTGCAAATATCAAAAAATTTCTATATGTGACACGGCATCAGAGTTAAGTTAGGGTTTTTTTTTGTTGTTGTTTTTTTTAAAATATATTTTATTGATTTTTTACAGAGAGGAAGGGAGAGAGATAGAGAGTCAGAAACATCGATCAGCTGCCTCCTGCACATCTCCCACTGGGGATGTGCCCGCAACCCAGGCACATGCCCTTGACCGGAATCGAACCTGGGACCCCTCAGTCTGCAGGCTGACGCTCCATCCACTGAGCCAAACCGGTTTTGGCAAAGTTAGGGTTTTTCAAAATGCTGACACGCCAAGCTCAAAAGGTTCACCATCACCGATCTAGGAAGAATCTCAGAGTGAAGAAAAAGAGAAGGTACGAGAAAAAGGAGAGGAAAAGCACAGTGAGCCATTTTCCTTGGGGACAAATCATCCAAGATGGGGTGGATGTTAGAATGGACACAGGGGAAGAAAGGAGCAGTGCTCAGAAGACAGTGAGTACACTTTTGTCACTGAAGGGTGGCCTTGGTCAGTGCAGTCTCATAGCAGGGGAGGTGGAAGAGTATGCAGAAGGGAAAGATTTGAGTATCCTGAAAAAAAAAGGACCATGTCCGGGTGGCATGGCTCAGTGGTTGAACGACAATCTGTGAACCAGGTCACAGTTCGATTCCTGGTCAGGGCACATGCCTGGGTTGCAGGCTCAATAGCTAGTATGGGGCATGCAGAGAGCAGCCGATCGATGATTCTCTCTCTACAAAGTGATTCTATCTCTCTATTCCTCTCCCTTCCTCTCTCTCTAAAAACAAAACAAAAAAAACATATTTAAAAAAAATAAAAACCATACAACCAAAACTCAAGGTGCAGATAAAAAGGGATCAAATCCCAGAAGAGAGTAAGGGATCTATTTTTCTCTCAACTCCTACAAACAGAAAGGGGTCTACCCTCTCTCAATGGGAAGGACATACACTGAGGCACTGCTCACCTATCCTCAAATCCCTTCACCTCTGAGCCCCTTCTCTGAGCGACTAAAATGTGATTTCCACAGCCCCCCTATGCTGGTTCTCACTCACCTGAACGGGTTCCACAGTGGATTTCACCTGCCACTGTCCATGGTGCTTCTCCATTACCCAACTTGGAAAGTAAGTCTGGTTTGCTGGCCTCACAACCTGTTCATGGGGAATGATGGAAGCCTTAGACACACTGAATAGGACTTGGGGTCTGTGAAGACCATAGAATATAATATTTAAAGACTAAACAATTTTCACATTTAGACAGTAAAGGCTATTTTCTCAGGAGAAGGGAGAATATTCCTCTCTGGGGCCAGACAGAAAACTAAGATTCATTTACCACTTCAGAAAACCAGACATGCCAGAGCTTTCAGAAGCTGAGAATGGAAAGGCCACTGACTGAGGACCATCTGAGTGACACACGGGAGCTGTCCTCACCCACTGACACCAGGTGGCTGTAGGTCTCCAACATCACGTCCGTGTACAGGTCCTTCTGCTCGGGGCCTAGGAGCTGCCACTCCTCCCAGGTGAAGTCCACGGCCACATCGTGAAATGTCAGGGATTCCTGTACCAACTCCATGCTGTGTAATGGCGTGATGTCCTTTAGATGATATGGAAGAAATGTTAGTTTTTCTGCTCATTTTCACTTTATAGACTACACATATAGCGAGTGGAGTTTTAATTTAGTATACAGTTGAATAATCACATGCCTATGGTGGACAAAAGTAGTTTTACAGTTGTTCCTATGGAAAATAATACAATAATTAATAAACAATACAGCAATCAACTCTGTTTCACATACAACTGTAAAGCTACTCTTGGCCCACTTTGCATCTTATAATTGAGCATTCAATCATCCATGTGTTCATCCAATTAGGTGTTTCTAAAATATGAAGAAGTTAGCCCTAACCGGTTTGGCTCAGTGGATACAGCATCGGCCTGCGGACTGAAAGGTCCCAGGTTCGATTCCGGTCAAGGGCATGTACCTTGGTTGCGGGCAACATACCCAGTGGGGTGTGTGCAGGAGGCAGCTGATCGATGTTTCTCTCTCATCGATGTTTCTGACTCTCCATCCCTCTCCCTTCCTCTCTGTAAAAAAATCAATAAAATATATTTAAATAAATAAATAAATAAATAAATAAATAACATATGAAGAAGTTAAATGTTCTTGTTTCCTAGAAATACCACATTCATGTATTTGAGACACAATACAGGGTGTCCCCCAAAAATGTATACACACTTTCAATAATTATTAATTCCAGTAGGCTAAATCTGAAAGAAAGAAACATCAATTGAGCTATCAGTCTTAAAGTGTGTATACAATTTTTTTTGACACCCTAGATATATGTATACTTCTCAGATGAACAATGGTGGTTTTTATAGGCCTCTAGACATCCATTCATGAAGACAGAAAATGATAAAACAAACCCAAAGTCACCTGAGCTTGGAGCATTTTCTTCTGTTCTCTGAAAAGAGCCGGCCCCCTAGCCAGTTTGGCTCAGTGGATAGAGCGTTGGCCTGGGGACTGCAGAGTCCCGGGTTTGATTCTGTACAAGGGCACATGGCTGGGTTACGGGCTCCATCACCAGTAGTGTGTGTGCAGTAGGCAGTCGATCAGTGGTTCTCTCTCATCATTGATGTTTCTAACTCTCCTCCCTTCTTCTCTGAAATCAATAAATTTTAAAAAATTTTTTTTTAAAGAGCTGACAACGGGGAGGCTCTGACTTGGTATGTTTGGGTTTGCTTTAAATTTCTGATACCCGATTCTTCAACTTCTCCCGATTCTTCAAATTCCTCCGGTTTCATATAATTCTATTGCTTCTGATGAGTCAGAACCTGTGCATTAAGGAGAAAATTCAATGAGTGACATATTTGGTCTGGGACCCAGTGCCAACGTCCTCCTGTTCACACAATGCCCCTCATGTCCCTCCCTTCATTTGATCTCCTAGAAGTATTCACTCTTCAGGTCCATAAAGCCTATATTATAAATGTGGTGGAGGCCCTAGCTGATTTGGCTCAGTGGATAGAGCGTCGGTCTGCGGACTGAAGGATCCCAGGTTCAATTCCAGTCAAGGGTACATGCCCAGGTTGTGGGCTTGATCTCCAGTAGGGGGCATGCAGGAGGCAGCCGATCAATGATTCTCTCTCATCATTGATGTTTCTCTCTCTTTCTCTCCATTCCTCTCTGAAATCAATAAAAATATATATAAAAAAAATAAATGTGGTGGAGGAATTCCTTTATCCTGTGGAATTTAAGTGGTGCATTGTGAAAGAAGATGAGGGAAAAGCCATTGCAGGGGCAGAATAATTGTTCCTTCTATTCTAGGTTATTTTGCTGATCTAATAATTAAACTCATATCACAGAGATTAATAAGGAAAAAACAATCAAAAAGGTTAATGACATGTATACCTCCTATATACATGGAAGCAACTCAGAAAAATAGAATTTTGGCCAAAATGGCAAACATTATCACCTGAAAAACAAACCACTGTTACCTAAAGTCAAAAAGTGTTGGGGGGAGCCCTAGCTGGTTTGGCTCAGTGGGTCGAGTGTAGGCCTATGGACTGAAGGGTTCCAGGGGTCGATTTCAATCAAGGCATATACCTGGGTTGCAGGCTTAATCCCCAGTATGGAGCGAGCAGGAGGCAGCCTATCAATGATTCTCTCTCATCATTGATGTTTCTATGTCTCTCTCCCTCTCCATTCCTCTCTGAAATCAATAAACACATATATTTTTTTTAAATGCTGAGAACATTGTAACTATTAAAAAAAAATATGTTGGGGGTGGAGAGTCAATTAGGGGAGGTTACTGGGAAAAGCACAGTAAAGAAGCTTAAGGCGGTGGTGCAGATATAAGTCCTGCTTCCTCCACTGATAGTTTAGGTGGGTTTGGTATAGTGAGGGAGAAACCCTTACAGATGAAATTGCTCTGACAAATATAAGTGGCCTTTTTAAGGGGTAACTTCTACTAGGTTTTCAGCGCTTCTCTCAGGGCTGCAGTTTCTTCAAGCCAACCTGCTTAAAATAACCAATATCCCATAGAGGCATGTTTTAGGGTGGGAAATGCTCCCCTTCATACTCACGGAATTGGGTAAAAGAGAAAATTCTCTCGCAGAAACGACTAACAGATTTTCACATATATAGCTGGCTAGAATTGCACTATGTACTTAAGCTCATTTCAAGGTAATTCAATCACTAATGATGGGAACTGGAACCACCACATTTGACTAAGATGGACCTGGAATACCAATACACTGTCATATGGGTCACCTTGTCGCAGGGATGGAATCTAAAATACAAAGGAGTTTTTGTTAGGAAAGAAAAACGCATTAATGCATATCAGGCAAATAAGCAAGTGTCCTTGCTGTATATTCACCCATTAACTGCCACGCGTCCAAAACGGAAACCATCCCCACACGCCAGGATATTTTGAGTTTAACTTTAAAAATCAATTTGCAATGAATGTCATAAAAATAAATATATTCCTCACAATTTTGGTGTTCTTGAATATTTTCAGCTGAAAATTCTCACGAAAAATGATTTTAAAGTTGGTCA